TTGAAATAGTGGCAATGTTCAGAAAGGATTCTGGCCTTTTCCCCTTGCTGGCAATGGATAATAAAATTCACTCTTCTTTTTCATACCTTGCTCTTGTTATTTTGGCTTCTTTCTACAAGTGGCAAGCAGCCAGACCTTCTTTTGGTTACAACTTTGTGCCAGGCATTGCACTAAGCACTTCATATACAGTATCTCATTTAATCTTCACATTACTATCCTCATATGTAGATGAGGAAACTGAAGGACTCCCTAAGGCTATGGGAGTATTAAGTGGTTAAATGACAGAGTTAGGATTAGGACTTGGATCAGATTCAGAGCCTATTTTTTTTTTTTTGAGACAAAATATCATGCCGATTCACACTGAGTACAGTGGTGTGCAGGGTGGAGTGCAGTGGCACGATCTTGACTCACTGCAACCTCTGTTTCTCGGGTTCAAGTGATTCTCCTGCCTCAGCCTCCCAAGTAGCTCGGACTACAGGATTGCACCACCACACCTGGCTAATTTTTGTATTTTTAGTAGAGAGGGGTTTCACTATGTTGGCCAGGCTGGTCTCAAACTCCTGACTTCAGGTGATCCACCCACCTCAGTCTCCCAAAGTGCTGGGATTATAGGATAAGCCACCACACCCGGCCTCAGAGCCTTACTTGTAAACATGAATGGTTAAAAGCATCTCTGCTAAAAAGTTGTCTTCTGTACTAATTGAGATCTGCTTTAAATAACTGAAGCTGGAACTAGCAATGGAGACCAAACCTCTCTCACCATTTACACTTTCGTCTTTCCCAAATATTATGCTGTTTACTTGGGTCAAACCATTCAAGTTCAAGAAATGCTCAGTCTTGTTTATTTGCAGCCATAACCCCGTGTGCCTTCCAAATTTAAATCCTTTGACATAGTTTGGCTTTAAATGACTAAAACAAATTTGTTAGAAAACGGCAGTGCCATAAAAACCTAAACTTATGCCAAAACCAACTCATCGTATTTGACTTTTGTATTTTCTAATATTTGTTGTGTACTTTTTTTAAATTATACTTTCAGTTCTGGGGTACATGTGCAGAACGTGCAGGTTTGTTACATAGGTATACAGGTGCCATGGTGGTTTGCTTGCATCCATCACCCCGTTATCTACATTACATATTTCTCCTAATGCTATTCCTCCCCTAGTCCCCCACCCCCTGACAGGCCCGTGTGTGTGATGTTTCCCTCCCTGTGTCCATGTGTTCTCATTGTTCAACAACCACTTACGAATGAGAACATGTGGCATTTGGTTTTCTGTTCTTATGTCAGTTTGCTGAGAATGATGGTTTCCACCTTCATTCATGTCCCTGCAAAAGACATGAACTCATCTTTTTTATGGCTGCATAGTATTCCGTGGTGTATATGTGCCACATTTTAAAAATCCAGTCTATCATTGATGGGCAGTTGGGTTGTTTCAAGTCTTTGCTATTGTAAACAATGCTGCAATAAACATACATGTGCATGTGTCTTTACGATAGAGTGATTTATAATCCTTTGGGTATATACCCAGTAATGGGATTGCTGGGTCAAATGGTATTTGTAGATGTAGACCTATGAGGAGTAGCCACACTGTATTCCACAATGGTTGAACTAATTTGCACTCCCACCAACAGTATAAAAGCATTCCTATTTCTCCACATCCTCTCCAACATCTGTTGCCTCCTGACTTTTTAATGATCGTCATTCTAACTGGCATGAGATGGTATCTCAACATGGTTTTGATTTGCATTTCTCTACTGACCAGTGATAATGACCTTTTTATCATATGTTTGTTGGCTGCGTAAATGTCTTCTTCTGAGACGTGTCTGTTCATATCCTTCACCCACTTTTTGATGGGGTTGTTTTTTTCTGGTAAATTTGTTTTTTAAGTTCCTTGTAGATTCTAGATGTTAGCACTTTGTCAGATGGGTAGATTGCACATTTTTTTCCCCCTTTCTGTTGCATACCGTTCTCAGCCCCACCCCAGACCTACTCATTGTGAATCTGCATTTTAACCAGATTAAACAAGATTAACCAAATCATTTTAGAGAGCCATTCATGCATGAACCTACAAGCTAATGGAGTTTCCATGTCCACATCAGTACTGTGGTGGTGGCTGGGCTTTCCAAATACGTCCTTGGTGTGTTTGTGTTAATGACTCATGAATCAAAAGGAATTATTTGTCACCTGATCCAAAAAAAGCCCTGAGATCTATCAAAAAAGGGACCTATGGCCTGAGGGCACGCTGGCAAAGAGAAATAATAATCTTCCCAGTGTCCACTGGGCTCTGGGGATATGACAGGTGGAAATGACAAGCTCTTAAGCTTCAATGCTCGGCAGTCCTGCCACCAATAAATACATGCAAGAAATGGCTCCTTTAGTCCTATAATGTTTACGAAAACATATTAAAGGCTGCAATTCACATTCATGGACACATTGAGAACCTTTAAATAATCCTTGTATGCCACTCAGCAAAGGCTTATTTAAAAAGGAAATGGGCAAAGAATGTAAAAGGTGTACTATGTACTTTAAGGGTATCATGGAGTTTTAAAACAGGGTTTTGCGGGAGGTTAGAAGAGCTTGAAAACCTGTCTTCCATGAAAGCTCCAAAATATTATTTTTCTGATTCTTTGTAGGCATGTCCTATCAGCTCCACGTGCAGGGCAGGGGGAGAACAAAAATACGTACATACATGTGGGCCTTGCCCACAAAACAGAGCTTCCTAAACTGTAATGTGACATGGGTCACTTGGGAGTCTGGTTAAAATGCAGATTCACATTGAGTTGGTCTGGGGCGGGGCCTGAGAGTCTGCATTTCTGACAAGTTCCCAGGGGATGCCGATGCACCCAGGCCAGGCATTCGCTCAGTGTTGCAAGACACTAAAACATGTACAAGGCAAACTGTGTAAAGGCGCTTTCCAATCCGCATGTCTTTGAAGGACTCTTAAGGATACCTGGGCTGCAGCTACTTCTCCACTGGCCAATTAACACAGAGGAATTGTTGCTGTAAACTGATGACCAACACAGCCTCTTACCTGGCCAGATGTTTCTAGAAAAGGGCCTGAAAGATGAAAAGCTGGCAGAAGAGGTGTGCTTCCAAGAAGTCAAAGGGAATCAATCCGTGGGTCACCAGAGTAGCTGGTAATAAATTTCAGGTGATGCACTTGCAAGACTGGGCAAAATAAGGATTTGTCAGTCCATGTCTAGGATGTTTGAGTGGATGTTGTTTTCTTTTTCACAGACAGGCCTTGGTTTCCTTGAAGTTTTAAATCATGTAAATTCAGTGACCCCAGGACTTTATTTTCAGACCGATTTGTAGCAATTCATAAATGTATTGGGCCAATGATGGCTGCTGGAAATTTGCTCAGAGAAAAAGCCTAGGGCAGAGCCGAAAGCTGTCTGTGAATGTATTAATAGTTCATATATATATATATATATATATATATATATGGTTAGTTTTTCTTTTTCTTTTTTTTTTTTTTTTGAGACAGTCTTGCTCTGTCTCCAAGGCTGGAGTGCAGTGGCAAGATCTCAGCTCACTGCAACTTCCACCTCCTGAGTTCAAGTGATTCTCCTGCCTCAGCCTCCAGAGTAGCTGGCATTACAGGTGCCTGCCACCATATCTGGCTAATTTTTGTATTTTTAGTAGAGATGGGGTTTCACCATGTTAGTCAGGCTGGTCTCAAACTCCTGACCTCAGGTGATCTGCCTGCCTTGGCCTCCCAAAGTGCTGGGATTACAGGCATGAGCCACCGAACGTGGCCCAATAGCTAAAACTTTAACCTAATGGCACTTTGAGGAAAACAAAAATACAAACAGAAATCCAGCTTTGGGTTCATAAAGCCAGTGGGGAAGCTGTAGTCTGGGACAAGGGCAGTGCCCTGTCTGATACTCCTGCAAGGAGGAATTGGGGTTCTGAATCATGAGAACTTGGAATGTATATTCACCAGGACTGAGTTCTCCTGCAGGGTAACTGGTCATCAGACTTTTGGAATATAGAAAGTCTGGAAAGTTTAGAATGAAGGTGGTATGACATTCCCAACTTGAACTAGGGTTTCCGATCTCAATAAATAAGGGTCTGCCCATGGAAGCATTCAAGGACTAAAACTATTAAAAGTCTTTGGGATATACGGTAATATTCATTATCTGCAACCTATAACTGCCTAGAGAGATCTGGAAAAATTAATCCTGACACTTGGGAGCATTCTTCCCTTTAATGAAGGTTAAAGGCAAATAACTAGATTGCTATGGTTTTTACTGCAATACACGTAGGCCCTTTGATTTATATGATAGAGACCTTTAATAGATAGCTTATTATCCAAAGAACGGCCTGTGAATTCTGGGAATAGTAGGGTAGATGCTTGTTATGATCTCCGGTTTTGTACATTTAGAATATTTTAGATGGCAGGAAACCAGGGACAGGTCTAATAAACTCACCCGAAATTAGTTTTCTTATTTGAAAGAAGATACTTTTATGTTGTCTAATTTTATTGTCAAAATTAATAAATGGCAGCCCATCACAAACTTCTTTCTAAGTTGATTGACCTTTTATGTGAGGAGTCCCGGCTTTCCCAAGTGATTACTTATTTTATTAGTGTACTAACTTCAAAAAAAATTATATATTATGTGTTGAGGTCAAGCCAAAAGGGTCAATTCTTTTTTTTTTTGCAGTGGTACAATCTTGGCTCACTGCAACTTCCACTTCCCAGTTTCAAGCAATTATCCTACCTCAGCCTCCTGAGTAGCTGGGACTACAGGGGCCCACCACCACACCAGGCTATTTTTTTTTTTTTTTTTTTTGTATTTTTAGTATAGGTGGGGTTTTACCATGTTGGCTAGACTGGTCTCGAACTCCTGACCTCAAATGATCCACCCACCTCTGCCTCCCAAAGTGCTGGGATTATAGGCGTGAGCCACTGTGCCCAGCCAATAGGGTCAATTCTTATCCTGTTTTCTCATTTTTCCATCACAATAAATAATTTCAAAAGGAAAGTAAACAAGACTGGTTAGGAATTAAGCAACCACATTTTTAATCAGTAAATATGAACATTTGTTTGTTAACCAGTTACTACTAGGGAGAAAAAAAAACAGTAATTTTCAAGAATTCAAAAGATAACACCACCTTGAAAACAAAGTGCCAAAAATCTTTGCCATAAACTCTTCCTCACTTATAGAACTAGAAGTAACAAATATTTACTCAAAATGAGGCTTGGAATAATCTATAAAGTTCCAGATATATTTTAAAGCTATAACAGACTTTGCACATAAAGCCAAAACAGATTATTTTACACATATGTAGACCATCTGACACCCCAATGAATGATTGAATGGATGAATTGTTGAACATTAGAGAAAGTGATTACTTATGTTCACATTATGGGCCAGGCTTATTCATTTCTTGTCATTCTCCTGCCTCACTGTCCCTTGCTCTTCCAAGGGCCTTGGCAAGGTGGCTTCCAGGTAGTCCTGGAATGATAAGGTGCTGGTGGAAGATGTGAGAGCAGGAGAGGTGAGACCAAAGTATTCTCTGTAACTGACTCAGCTCACTCCATCTCAGGCAGTGGCTTTGTCCTTGTCATGGCTTGGCTTTTCACAATCCATTGGTGGTCCTAGCTCCGCCTAGGGAGCCCCCACCATGGTTCCAGCCCCTCTGAATGACCCTACTATGGATTCAGGAAACCGTTATCCTCATAGCCCTGGGTGTGGAAACAGCTTCTTGCTGTTTAGCTTTTCTTCTATCATCTATGTAAGTCAGTTTCCTGTATTAAATTCCCTCTGTTGAAACACGTAGAATGGTGTTTCTGTTTCTAGTTTGCTTTCCAGACTGGACCCTGACAGATACATATCAGAATCATTAAACTTTTTTCCTTGAACTTATCTGGGAATTTTTGCATCAAAATCTGCCCTAAGCCAATGAAAAATCATTCAGATCACACTCAATATCCACATTCCGAAAAAAGGTCAGTAAATATCCCCTTGGCTGTGTTTTGTCAAACACTGGGATTCTCTTTACCAAGTGCAAAGATGGCTCCGACTACCAATGTCACCACCAATTACAGTGGACACAGGCATGAGCCTTCTCCAGAGGTCACTTTTGTTGCATGTGTTAAGTCTAATAACAAGGTAAAAGACATACAAAGAGAAAATTAATCTTAAGAGAAAGTTACAGTCACCAAATGAATAACATTATTAAAAAAGTCTTTGAAAATTCAGAGAACAAAAGACAGCACCAGAAAGTTTCTTCCCTGTTGAATTAATACATTTTCCTGAAATTATTATCCTGGAGAATTTCTCAATATTTCAAGAGCATCAAAAAAAAAAAAAAAAAGAACCTGATCCATTGCTTCTCAGCTAGAATGCACCCCTGGTATGGTTATTAACTGAAGTAGAGTTCTTTGGTGAGCATGGAGACCACACAGGGGATCTGCTTCTTCTCATGGAAGTGTGGGTTATCAGACTGAGACTCGAAGTGCCTGGCCACTCTGCCATTCACCCTGGTGAGGATCTGCATGATCTCCAGGTCTTTCCCATGCTCCTCCAGGATGGAGCAGAGGGCTTGCACAAACCAGGAGCCACTTCCTGGGCTCCTCCAAGAGTAATAGCCTTCAACAGGAAAGAAAGGAGACAATCAAATCAGCTAATTCTGACAGCTGCTCCACTCACCAATGAGAATGAGTGGATGGGCTTTCACACCTGCTTTTCAGAAACAGTTTCACCCTACTCTGCACACAAGTCATTAATGAGAATTATGCTAGTGTGCTCAGAGAGCAAACATCTGAGATTTAGAGGGTTGGCATGAAGATGCTGAAAAGCGCTTTGGGTATTTCAGCATGGAAATCCAACGACAGACATCACTAAGGGCCAGCATTGGTGGATGTTGCCAGGGTCCTTTCCTGTGTCAGTTCTGATGGAGGTACCCACTTGATACACCTCAGATACATGGGTGTGAGACAGTGTGAGACAGATCTGGATGTGCAGACTTCCAAAGGAAATACTAGAGGTCTATTCCATAACTCTGGAACTCCTCACCACCCTTTCAGGGTCTGTTCTACTTTCTAATCCAAGCCTACTAGAGAAAGAATTTGCAGAGAACCTCGGAAAATGTGTTCCTGCTGCTGGGATACAGGGGAGTAGAGTTGGATCTTGCTGAAGAAATCTAGCGGCACGAGGAAGCTGAATGCCCAACTGTCTGAGGGGCAGGGCTAGGAGAGCCTGATGCCCTGGAAGGGGAAATCTCATCCTATAACTCCCTAACCTAAAATGGTTTCCTTTCCCCACATTATCTGGGTAAAGTTCAGGCTGCTTGGCACAGCACACAGGGCCCACCACAGTAGGGCCACTTGCCTCCCTGTCCTGGTTTGACCCTGGCCATGCTCTGCAACATCCTGTGGTATGGACTGAACTGTCTTCCCAAAATTCATTTGTTGAGGCCACACCCCATAATGTGACTGTTTAAAGGCAGGGCCTTTATAGAGGTAATTAAGATTCAATGAAGTCACTAGGGTAGGGCTCTGATCCAAGAGGACTGGTGTCCTTATAAGAAGAGACACCAGAGGCCTCACTCTGTCTAGGTCAATCTCTGTCATGTGAGAACATAGCAAGAAGGGACATTTATGAGCTAGGAAGGGGGCCCTCACCAGAAACTGACTGAGCCAGCAACTTGATCTTAGACTTCACAGTCTCCATAACTTAGAGAAATAAGCGTCTGTTGTTTAAGCCACTTACTCTAAGGTATTTTGCTATAGCAGCCCAAGAAGAACTGATATACTCTGATCCAGCCCTGAGTTTTACCAAATGCACTGGGGTATCTGGCCCCTCAGCACTCCATCTGACAAGCCATCTTTCTCTTACCCATGTTGTTTGAAATTTTAGGCTCAGTTACAGCAGCTCCTTTTTAACATCACTTTTCTTGCCCAGGTGGGGTGGCTCACACCTGTAATTCCAACACTTTGGGAGGCCAAGGCGGGCAGGTCACAAGGTCAGGAGTTTGAGACCAGCCTGACCAATGTAGTGAAACCCCATCTCTACTAAGAATATAAAAATTAGCTGGGCATGGTGGCGTGTGCCTGTAATCCCAGCTATTCAAGAGGCTGAGGCAGGAGAATCGCTGGAACCGGGAGGTGGAGGTTGCAGTGAGCCGAGATCATGCCACTGCATTCCAGCCTGGACGACAGAGTGAGACTCCCAAAAAAAAAAAAAAAAAAAAAAAAAAAAATATATATATATATATGATTAAAAATAAAAAATAAAACATGGTTTTTCTCATCTGCCTCCTTGCTCAGAGCACCTACAAGTCTACCACTGGGTTTGTTTATGCAGACATATGCCTCCATTACACCACCTCCCTCTCAAGAGCAGGAAGACCAAATTATTTTCTATCTTATACCATCCTTAAAACTTGTGAAATTATCGCTCTCACAAAATCCCATCTGTAGATGCTGCTAGAGCTGGTTTTCCAAACACACCGTCCTACTTACTGTAACCAGTACCTTTGTGCCAAACACTTGACAAAAGTACTAGCACAGCTGGGAAAATTCTAACTCAGTGCTGGTTTGTACCCAAAGCAAAGGAAGGACTTTCACTGTACAGACTCAGTCTAATGTGGCACTTGGTAAAGTGAGTAGGCTTGCCCATTACTGGCATTTTCTGGTACCTGTGTACAGGCTGCAGCGTAAAGGAACCTTGGTCTGAGCCACAGCTCCACTGCATACCGAAATCACGTAAGCTCATCTAAACTGAAAATTCTTTTATCTGTAAAATCAGGACAGCAATAATACCTTTCCTAAATATGTATGCTATTATTATAAGGATAATATGAGAAAAGACACATGAAAGATACTCTGTATTGTAAAGCACTATAGAAATGTTTGTCCTTATAATTACCAATAAGAATAATGATAATAAATAATAATAATAAATCGCTTGTCAGATGGAGTGCTGAGGGGCCGGATAGCCCAGTGCATTTGGTAAAACTCGGGGCTGGATCGCAGGGTGTGTCAGTCTTCTTGGGCTGCTATAGCAAAATACCTTAGACTAGGTGGTTTAAACAACTGATGTCTATTTCTCTACGTTATGAAGGCTGGGAAGTCCAAGATCAAGTCCCAAGTCAGCTTTCCTGGAGAGAAAAGGGAATGCACTTCTGTGGTAGGCAGAATAACGGTGCTCACAGATGTCATCCCCTAACCCCAGAATCTGTGAACATGAAACCTGCTGTGGAAAAAGGACTTTGCAGATGTGGTTGAGGTTATTGGACTGATGGGGAGATGATCCTGGAGTGTCCAGGTGGGTCCCATCTAATCACAGGAGTCCTTTCTCAGCTGTGGTCAGAAAGAGAGCACTGTCACAACAGAAGGGTCAGAGAGATGCAAAGTTGCTGGCTTTGAAGATGAAGGAAGGGGCCACAGCCAAGGAATGCAGGAGGTTCTTTGTGTATTTTCAGCCACTATGTTTGTAACGATGTATTACTGCAGCAAGAGGAAACTAATACAGCCCCCAAGTCTGTGTTTTGATGATGGAATGGACTGAAGTATGCTTAGTAGACAATAAACGTGATACCTGGCACCGTGGAATAGGCAAAGAGAAAGTCAGCTTCCACTGGGATCTTATATCGGGGATTAGCATCTGTGTCATTGATGGGCCCCGAATCGGCCTGGATGCCATCATCGAGCTCTGTCCCTCGGCAAGCCTAAGTATCAAAGCAGACATTAATCCATGCAGTTGGGGACAGACACGTGCATGCTGTTCACTGCTGTGTCCCAATACCTAGAACTGTGCCTGGCAAACTTAGGAACTCAGTGATAATCTGATGAACAGATGAATGAATCAATGTGTGTCAAATTACTAAGCAAAGCAAATAAAAGTACTGCAATGTCTTAAAGAAACCTTCATAATTTATGGTGGGTCGTGAAGTCTCACGCCTGTAATCCCAGCACTTTGGGAGGCAGCCAGGAGTTTGAGACCAGCCTCGTCAACATGGTGAAAACCCATCTCTTCTAAAAATACAAAAATTAGCCAGGCATGGTGGTACGTGCCTGTAATCCCAGCTACTTGGGAGGCTGAGGCAGGAGAATCACTTGAACCTGGGAGGTGGAGGTTGCGGTGAGTCGAGATTGCACCACTGTATCCCAGCCCAGGTGACAGTGTGACTGTCTCAAAGAAAAAAAAATAAAAAACCTTCATAATTTGTGATCCAGTGCAAACACATATGCCAACCATTCAGTGACAGAAAAATAAAACCTTAATTTTAATTTGGAAGAACACTTAGATTTGTAAAAATGATGTCATCCCGTCACTCTGTAATCTTTCCCCATTTTCAAGTGTACTGGCACTGAAAAGAGATTACCTGAATGAAGAAGAGTTTGGGTTTCTCTAAAAGGGTTCTGCATCTATCCCCCCTAAAATGGGCTGTCAAATCCTTTATTGGTGTGACACCATCTTTCCCATAAATTAAGTTTTCTTCTCCATGGCTTAAGAGGATGCAGGCGAAGCAGGCGGCATTTGTATGGTCCTCTTCAGAAGCTGCAAGCAAACAGTATGAACATTGAAGAGTTAAGGCTTTAAGTTCTTGGGGGCTTCAGAAGCAGCATTTCCAGAGGCAGCCTGGTAGCTGTCCCTGACTATTAGAGGGGAGTGGAGGGGAGGTCCCAGGAACTGGGCTCCTCTCAAAGCACCAGACTTATCTAAGAAGTTAAGAGGGAGGAATAGCGTATGGGGGCTGATGGGCATGGCCCTGCTGTTGGCTAGTTCCGTGATATCAGGAGTGTTACTGAACTATTTTGTGCCTTGGTTTCCTTAACCGTGAATTGTAAAACAGGCCATATAACAAACATCATGCACGTATATGTTAAAGAGAATAAAATATTATACTAAGTGAAATAAGCCAGTTACTAAAGGCATGCACTGCATGACTCCACTTTCAGGAGGTACCTTGAATAGTCAGGTTCAGAGAGAGAATATAGAACAGTGGTTGCCAGGGGCAGGAGGGAAGGCGAAATAGCTAGCTAGTGTTTAATAGAGCCAAAGGCTCAGTTTTGGAAGATGAAAAAAAGCCTGGAGATGGATGGTGGTGATGGTGATACAACCAAGTGAATGTCGTTCTGAGCTATAACACTTAAAAATGGTTCGAGGTAAATTTTATGTTATGTATATTTTACCACAATTAAACAAAATTAAAGAAAAAATAAATAAAAATGCTAGATTGGCTGTGCATTTAGGGTACTGAGGAGAGGAATTATAAACCATGTGGCTAGTTGGCTCAGCTAGAACTCATCAAAAGCTTTGGGATACTAACTAACCAGCTATTAGGTTAACTAACCATTACTTTTAATGGTAAAAACTGCAATTGCTTTTGCTCCAACCTATAACTAGATAATAAACTTATCCTTTCTTCTCTGATTGAGAGAGAAAGGAATAACTTTTAGGTACTTTACATCAGTTATTTTTAATTCCTACAAGACTGGAAGGCCTCATTTGTTTATTTCACTGATAAAAAAATGAAATATCAGAGATATTGTGTAACCTTCCCCAAAGGTGGTACAACCGGAGTCTTGGGGCCATGCGTCAAGCCCAGGACACTGCACAGTCCAGCTACCTAACCAGTTCCAGGCAAAGCCAGAGTGGCCTCTTCCATTCGAATGCCTGAGACACCTTCGTATCATCTGCACAGTGATTCCGATATTAGTTTTGACAGTAGAGGTACAAGGTGATGGTGAAAGTTGGGAGTTCTTAGCTTATTTTAAGATCACACAAATTAGAGTTGTTAGAAAATGGGAGTTTTGTCTTCACTGGCACCGACTGCATGTAAAGTTAGAAAAAATAAATGCTTTACTAGTTTGAGAGGACAATAAACAAGAATTCTCTGATTGTGACATGCTTTGGGCTTGGGCAGAATGAATCATCTTTCAAAAGAACAGAAACTACAATTGGGACAAGTTCATATGCCTGTCTGGGCCATTATACTTCTCGAAGCATGCTCACAAAATTCCTCTTGGCTCACAAACTTCCTCACTCCATCCCTGAGAAACAGCAGGAGCTGGTATTATAATCCGCATTTCAGGAAAGCAAGAAAATCAGGATGTGGTTGCCTTGCCTGGGTCGCCTAGCTGTTAGAACTTGGGCCAGACCCGGATCTCGGACCCCTGATTTCTAATCTGGTCTAGCACATGACCTACTAGGGTACAAAAGGTCAGCTTGTAACAGTCAAGTTGGCGGAAATTAGGAAAAAGCCTAGTTTAAAAAAATAGAGATGGTGAGGACTTTTTGTTTTAGCTGCAAGATTAAGAAACACAGCTGTGATTGAGATTGTGTTCCTATGTACTTCCTGTGGGTCTGTGTCTAAAGAATTGGTAAGATGTTACTTTCAAACACTTGCCCTAAATGCCAGAAGACCCTGGGTGGCATCCATTAGAGAGGGTGGTGTAACAGAAAACGCATTTGTCCTGGAATCAGAAGACCAGAGTGTGGGGTTTTGGTTTTGCCCCTACTAACTGCACCCTTCAGTGCATCTTCCATCCTCTCTGAAGCTCCACCCCTTCATTTATTTTATTTTATTATTTTTTGAGACAGAGTCTTGCTGTCACCCAGGCTGGAGTGCAGTGGCACCATCTTGGCTTACTGTAACCTCTGCCTCTCGGGTTCAAGTGATTTTCACGCCTCAGCCTCCCAAGTAGCTGTGATTATAGGAGTGCACCACTATACTCGGCTAATTTTTGTATTTTTAAGTAGAGATGGGGTTTCATCATGTTGGCCAGGCTGGTCTCGAACTCCTGGCCTCAAGTGATCCTCCTGCCTTGGCCTCTCAAAGTGCTGGGATTACGGGTGAGAGACACCGCACGTGGCCCGCCCCTACATTTATAAAATGAGCATTAGCTTCTGTTGGCCAACATTGCAGGGCTCCTGTTAAAGAGCTAATGAAATAATTTTGTGAACATGCTATATAAAAAATAATGTAGTTCTAAAGCATATGGGAATTATTATTCTCTATCCACCACTAGAGAAAAATTTACACTTACACTTCATTCTGGAAAGGATGACACAGATGTATTACTTCCCAGGAATGAGTCTTTTGAAATTGTGACCATTCTGTATATAAAGAATCTATTTTTCTTGCTGGAATTTAAGCTGATTTCATATTTTTATGAAGAGATTGAAGGCTCCCTGAAAGAGACCTGCCTATTCCAGGATGAGTATGGACTGCTCAAGACGGGGGAGGTTTCTCACATTGAAATTCCTCTGTCCTTCACAGGCATCCTCCTGAGATGGGCCTGGCCAAGGTGGGAGGATCGCCTCCCTTGGGTACAGGAAGAAGACAGCTGGAGAGGCGGTAAGGACTCAACTTCTCTTTTTTTGAGACAGGGTCTCACTCTGTCACCCAGGTTGGAGTGCAGTGGTGTGAACATGGCTCACTGGAGTCTTGACCTCCTAGGCTCAAGCAAACCTTCCACCTCAGCCCCCCAAGTAGCTAGCACTATAGGTGCATGTCATCATGCCTAGCTAATTAAAAAAAAAAACTTTTTTTAGATGGGGTGTTGCCATTTTGCCCAGGCCAGTCTTGAACTCCTGAGTTCTAGTGATCCTTCCACCTTGGCCTCCCAAAGTTCTGGGGTTGCAGGTGTGAGCCACCACTCCTGGTAGTGCTCACCTTTTTTAAGCAGATCTTGCATCATTGCACAAGAGCAGTCATTATAGATGATCACGTCAAAACCCAGTCTTCGGAAGCACTTGAAGAGCGCCTCGGCATCTTTGTCTGTTCCGTTTCGAACGCCCATACCTGTGGGAATCAAGCAACGAGTCCACAGGTGACCATCCCCTGGATGAATACCACATGCGGGTACCAGCGGGCCAGGCGCTAAATATACTGGTGCCAGATGCAGCAGAAACACTCCAATATATACAATGCCTTCCAAGGCCACAGTTTAAACGAATAGAAGCAAACTCAAATGGGAGGCTAACAGTGCAGCCTGCCCACAACAGGTGAGACTCCTGGTGACACTCCGCTCCATCAAAGCCAAGGCCCCCCTGTATTCTCGGCCCTTTGGTTAAAGCCCCGCATCAGCTAACACAGATGGTGGGGCCTTAGGCTGAACGTTCTTGATTTCCGCATAACCCTTTCCCCGGGACACAGAAACCCCGCCTTCAGAGGGCCTGTTTGTCACAATAGGGGGGTGCAGTGTTTCTCCCATAAATGTCCAATACAAATAGGAGAGGATGAAACGGAACCGGAAAGGATCATCCACACCCACACACCTACCTGTCACTTTATCAAAGTTCTTGTTGTTTATTATGATGCATTTGCCCATCTTCTCAAAATTCATGCTGTACTGATACGTAGGCACTCGGTCCCGGGTGGTCTTGATGGATTGCTCTGAAACATTTTTCTTCTTACTGGGGAAATAAAAGTTTCTCAGTCAGGCGCTGTGGAAGAAGTGTGTATAGTAAGGCCTCTTGATTTTACTACCAGCGTGAAAGGGGGGGTGCTGATGGAAACCGCAATATCCTTGGAGAAAAGACCTGGTGTGCACAGATACCTCTGTTTAATTGTCATGTTGAAGTGGAACAGGGTCCCCTGGCAAATTTTATTAGATGCTAGAGAAATGCAAATTAAAATCACAATGTGACGTCAGTACACACTCACCAGAATGGCTACAGTGTAAAAGAAGCAGAGTACTCAGCCCCGGGGATTGTCAGACATTGCTGGTGGGAACCTACTTTGTACCCGCATTGAGGAAAACTGGCAGAAGCTACTGAAATGGAACATACACATAACCTATGCCAGAGCAACTCCCCTGGGAAATGCAAACACATTCACCAAAAGACAGGCCCATACATGTCACAGCAATACCATTCAGCAACGGCCTCAAACAGAAAATGATCCCTCCGTCCATTCAGTCAAATGCAAACATTGTTGAACATTCATCTAATGAAATATTATATGAGAATGATCAAACCACCACAATGTGAAGCAACATGAATAAACCTCATGAATATAACACTGAGTGAAAGAACTGACATGCAAAAGGGTACATACAAAGCTGAAAAGAACAAAGCTAATACCTAGGATCAGAAATCTCGAGACGGGGTTCTCCCTACGGTGGAGGTCAGAGAACAGAGGGACATAGCGCCTTTCTTGAGAATGAGTTGTATTTTGTTTCTTGGTATGGGTGCTGGTTACATGTGTGTTTCTGTTCATGAAAATTTATCAGTGTGTGCACTTTCTGTGGATGTTACATTTTAGTAACATTTACATTAAAAGGGGGAAAAAGGAGCAGAGAGATTACAACAAAAAGTAGGCTCTTTCCAGTCTCCAGACAATTGGTGGTCCAGTTTGCCAAAAGTCTAGCAGGTAGGCACCGTGGTGGGACATGAGGCACTATGGAGTGGGCAGAGAGACACATGTCCAACGAGGGTAGGAAGCTATCTTGCCAGCCATCCATGCCAACGGGGGCTCCAGGAGGGAAACATTTCTCTGTCCTGAAAATCACTGAATCCCCAACATGGAGAACAATGCCTGGCATTAAGTTGCTCAATACATATTTGTTATATGAATGAATCAAGAGAATCATATCCACTTCATTTTACGGATATGGAAACAGGTCCACTGGGAGACAGGGGTTATCCCAGGTCACCCAGCTAGTGATGGGCGGGTCTGAGTCTGCAATCCTGTCCCCTGGAGTATTTGCTAGAAGGATCTGCCCGCCCTTCTCCCACAGCTCCTAGCCAGAGTTAAAGCAGCAAAGAAAAAGTTAAAACCCAGCCTGTTACCTGACAAACATGGGGTCAAGCGTACTGCCCTTGAGTTGTCATGGACATTTATTGTCAGAGTTTCTCAGAATCTCTGAAAGGGCATGGCCTCCCCAACCCCCCACGACTTCTATCTTACTTCAAATTACACATGAACTCTGTATGTCTAAGCTGCAGATGCCATGTTGCTGTTTTTCCCCTGGAAGGTGACTTTATCCTCCACTTTTTGGAAGGTCAAATTTCTTCCATGATGCCATTCTACTTTTAAAAGAGAAATATCCTGAATCTGTTTCGCCTTCTCTGGGCTCCTCCACTGTTTTGTGTTCTATCTGGTTTACAGGGTGACACTGGGTTTTCTTCACATTTCGTCCCACAAAGAAGCAGCACAAAAGACCGCTGGACTTGGGGCTGGTCAGAGCTCTTTGTTCACCTGCCCATGTGACCTGATCCAGTGTCATTAATCCTTTGCAGAGCACCTACTTCCTCACATGTAACACAGTCAGTTGCATGCAGTAGGTGAAGCATTTTGTGACTTTCACAACATTAGATGGGAGATGTGGTGGCAGCAGGTACTTCCTGTGATGCCTCCCTCACTCCCCCTGCCCCTTGGAGATGTCAGTATCAGCAAAGGGAGTTTCAAGGACACACCATTCAGACAGCAATAGGGTTTCCTTATTGCCACCCTGTTAATGACTGCTATTGACAGTGCCCTCTGTACTTGTTAAAATATGTATGTACAGCCTTTGGAACACACAAAATCTCTGGTCTTTAATGGGTGCCTCAAAGGTAGGTAGTAGGGGGATAATCGTGCCCATTTTACAAGTAATAATAATAACAATGAACACTTGTCAGTGCTTACTAGAGGACTGGATCTTGTTAAAACTCTAATCTGCATGTCCTCACTGAATTCTGATAGCAATTCAGAGAGGGAGGCAGATGTCATTGTAACCCGTTTTAAGGATGAGCTGTAGAGGCTCGGGTGGGGAAGTAACTAGCTCAGCGTTGTGAGGGTACACAGCAAGTCCAAATCCAGGCAGTTGGCCATGGATTCAAAGGATTAATATTGTTAAAAATGTCCATACTGCTCAAAGCAGTCTACAGATTTCAATGCACTCCCTATCAAAAATACCAATGACAGTCTTCACAGAAATAGGAGAAAAAATTCTAAAATATATATGAAACCACAAAAGACTGAGAATAGCCAAAGCCATCCTGAGAAAAATGGAGAAAACTGGAGAAATCACTTTACCTGACTTCAGATTACACTACAAAACTATAGTAATCAAAACAGCATGGTACTTGCATAAAAACAGACACATAGACCAATGGGGGGGGCGGGGAGAAAACCCAGAAATGAATCTATGCATTTACAGTGAACTCATTTTTGACAAAAGGGCTAAGAACGTACATTGGGGTAAGGACAATCTCTTCAATAAATTGTGCTGGGAAAACTAGATAACCATATGCAAAAGAATGAAACTAGATTCCTAACTCTTGCCATATGCAAAAATTAAAAATGCATGAAAGATTTAAATCTAATGCCTGAAACTATAAAACTGCTAGAAGAAAATGTTGAGGAAACTCTCCAAGACATTGGTATGGGCAAAGATTTCTTGAGTAAAACCTCAAAAGCAGAGGCGACCAACACAAAAATAATACATAAGTCCAAAAGGCATAGATTTATGTAGTTATTTATTATTAGTACCTACCACCTATGGGCCAGGAGCTTTATAAAATCACTGCATGTTCTCACAGCCATGCTGCGTTTGTGCAGATAAGAAAATTCAAGTTCAGAGTTGGAATGTGACTCCTGGTGACCTGACCCCAAAGCGTATGCTTTCTCTACTAGACTATTTTTTCTTTGAACAAACACTGTCTTTGATATTAAAATTCAGGACAGGACTTACTCATCTTCCAGGTTACTTTTGTGGAAGGTGGAATATAATCTGTGACCTTTCTGAAATCAGGTCTCCTGGCCCAGTTAACCAAGGTAGCTTCAGGATGGGCTTCATCCAGTGCTCTCTGTAACCCTTAATAATACCAGAATGGGATAAAAGAACAGAATACTGAACAGGTAAAGTAGGGCTTTTGTTTATTTATTTATTTTGAGATGGAGTCTCTCTCTGTCACTCAGGCTGGAGTGCAGTGGTGCAATCTCAGCTTACTGCAACCTCCACCTCCCAGGTTCAAGCGATTCTCGTGCCTTGGCCTCCCATGTAGCTGGGATTACATGCGTGCACCACCATGCCTGGCTAATTTTCTAATAGAGACGGTGTTTCACCATGTTGCCTAGGCTAGTCGTGAACTCCTGACCTCGGGTGATCCACCTGCCTCGCCCTCCCAAAGTACTGGGACTACAGGCATGAGCCACTGCACCCGGCCTAAAGTAGGGTTTTTAACATGTCAACTGAATTTCAGAGCAAGCTTCCTAGGTCTTGCAGCTAATTTAAGGCTATTCTAAGATCCTAAGAGTAACATGAAGTCTGGCAGGCTGGAAACCACAGTTTATGCACTAAAATCCTTTCAGAGATAAAATCCTCCTTCTTTCTTCTGTGATACAGATCTCTATGATGATATACGAGTAATAAACAAGCTGGGATTTTTAAAGCTGTCATTAGCTCATCCTCGGTGATGAGCAAAACAAAACCAGCAAGTATCCTTTATAAGAAAAACAGAATTAGATATGTTTAAGGGAAAAATAAAAGGACTCTGGTTCTGTCAGAAGAAAACTTGGAAAATTAACTGGTTACATAAAAAGAACACAATAGGGGAATAAAGATAAACACACTTAAAAAAAAACCACTGTCCACAGTTATGAAAAGTACCTTAAAAATGAACATGAAATGTGATTCTCACTCCTGGTAAATATCTCAAAAGGGTGATACCTAGCCTGCCCGTAAACTGAACTCCTGTTTTTCAAAATGAACTTAATATCTGCTTCCTCCTTCTGGATTTGAGTCTGTTAATATTAATTTCTCCTTCTAAGCAAAAGAGCTTAGCTAGTCTGCCCCTAAAATGAACTCTTATTTTTCAAAATGAACTTGGTATCTGTTTCCTCTTTCTGGATTTGAGACAGTCAATATTAATTTTTCCTTTGAACAAAAATAGCTTTTTTGTTAAACCCACATCTTCACAGACCACAGATGCGTGTTTGTAAGTGACTATCAATTCAATCCCATCGAACTGATCTTCCTAAGAAGAGCTGGCCTTGGGAAAACTCCGTCCATAGCTTAACTTGAGGGAAGCAAACCCTGATGTTTAATGCATGTAACCTATTCAGTTACATGCTTTAGTCATGTAACTGGAGACAGACAAAGAAAAGATGCAAAGGTCTAGAAGGCACCAGGAAGAAAGCACCAGAAATAAAGAGGGAGAGGGACTAGAAGTCCACTGCTTATAGATATATTCTTAAAGAATCAGAGTCCAAGAGATTAGGCTACTACCTAAAAGCTCTTCACTTAAGAGCTGTGATGTTTTTGGGGTACCTTATTTCCCCTGGGGATTATATCCCTTTCACCCCCATTCTTCCTTTGAGACTATAGTGAGAGCCACCATACTGGTAGAAAGTGATTTGTCATCCCACCCCCTTGACCCTGCAGCCACCACTGATTGGTCCAGGGGGCACCTGATTCCGCAGGCTGGGC